AGCTTGTTTCTGTCTCACTATGGAATCTAGCTTTTTGACAGTAAATTTTTTGGAAATTGTGGCATCTCTTGTTCCCATATGGAGCACAAAACATTTCTCTAATGCTAAAACTTGTTCATGAGATCTTACTGTTTCATATCATTCAGTGGAAAAGCTCCTGCTTGCTCACAGCCTACAACTCATCATTTATCTTGCATGGTGAAACAATTATCTATGGACAGCTAAAATATGTCATTTCAGTTTGCAAGTTACTGTAACCATTAGAAAGGTATCAAGAGTTCAACTCAGTCAAGTACGGAGAATCCTTATTTCTAACTGTATTTTCAATAAATCCTAAAGCACTGAGATATTTGTATGCCATAATACTGTCTGTATTCCCTTGAGTAGCGATTGAGTATAACCAAAACTAAGTGGAATAGTTATAAAGGGAAAGCAATCAGTAGCAATATAAGTTTTTATGGACATAATTGCATAAATCCCTACTTTTGTAGGTTATCGTTCATTCAAAAGGAGAAACTTAATAACCTATTATATTTCAACGTTCCTTTAAGAAATTGATGAGCTGCATGGATGATCAAATTTAGTAAACAAACAGACAATTTAAACAGAATTAATGCAGTTTATGTAGGGACACAATCTTTTGAAAAGGAAAATGCACGCATTTTTCAGTACTCATTTAAGAAGTGATTATGAACTAGATCTTAATTTGATCAGTATCATACAGGCATTATCTGAATAAAATGTAATTGAGTTAGAACGTATACTAAAATGATTAGTAAAATGGTTGGAAATATAAAAACAGTACCCCTAAATCAGTGTGTGTTGAATTTGATAATCACAAACAGTATAAAATATAACCAACTGAATTAAATCAAGTAATATATATCTAACCTTTGATACAGAGAATGGAAAACATATCCCAAGTATTTTAAAAACAATAAAATTAAAAGAAAACATTCATGTTACTTCGCTTCTTTTATCCAGGCACTAGGGAGCAAAAGAGGAAGATCTCTGTGTATTTGAGGTGATCCTGGTCTATTTAGACAATGGCAGGCCACAGAGGGTTACATACTGAGTACTGTCTTCATAACAATTACAAAAAACAATTTTAAAACAGCAAGAAAAAAAGAGACACACAAAACTGTGGATATAAAATAATGTAGATATAAGACAACAATAATGAGGAACTTTACCCCGTTCTTGTATATGAAAACTCAACTATATGAACTCTGTTCTTCCTGTTTTAATATCTAAGTTCAATATAATTCAAACCCAAAATATGATCAGGGATTTTCATGAAATATGAAAATTTGATACTAAAATCATACAGAAGATCAGAGAGATTAGAATAGCTTAGATAATTTTAAGGAAGAATGGAGTGGAAATGTGAAGTCCAACCAGGCAGAAATAAATGTAAAGTTATACAAAGCAATGGAATAGAATAGAATGGAACTCAGAAGCACAACTATCTCTTGATGGACACTTGATATATTGCAGAGGCAATGTCAGAAATCAAACACAGTAATGGAATAACTATAATGCTGATAAAGTCAAATTAAGTCATATGTTCACACTATACACAAAAATAGATTGTCGAAAGTTGAAAGTCCCAAATGAAAAAGGTAATAATTTTAAAATTTAAGAACATGCTATTTATTTGGGGGTGGGGGGCTGGGAGAGGGTCATATTGCAACAGCACATATAAGGAGGTCAGAAGACAAATTTTAGAAGTTGGTTCTTTCCAGTATTTGAGTTCCACTGATTGAATTCAGGTCCTCAAGTTTGGCTGCAAACTTTACCTTTTAAGCCATCTGTCTAGACCATGTGCATTTATATATAATTTTAACTCTCGTTGAAAATAGATTTTAGTACAATATATTTGATCATTGTTTCCCACCCCTAGCTCCTCCCAGATCCTCCCCACCCAACCAAACCACATCCTTTCTTTCTTTATCTCTCATTAGAAAACAAACCAGCAACTAAACACACACACAAACACACACACACACACACACAAACAAACACACACACACCCCTAAATAGGACAAACAAACAATGCAGGGGGAAAAAAAGAGCCAAAGGAAAAGCACAAGAAACATATGCACACACACACACACACACTTGCACACACAGAAATCCCATAAAAACACAAAATCAGAAACTATGATATATAAGTAAAAGATCTGTGAGGTTAAAAAAAATGCCCAAACAAATCACTATGAGACAAAAACCTTCCAAAAATACCACTGAATTCATTTTGTGTTGAATATCTACTGCTGGTCATCGGGCCTGCCCTTAAGTGTGGTTTGTGTACCCAGTGAGACACCACTGGAAAAGACTAATTTTTCCTTTGTGAGCTATTGTCAATTGGAGATGGGGATTTGTATCCACTTCTCCACTCAGCACTAGGAAACCAACTGGCTTAGAACTATGCAGGCTCTGTGTATGCTGCAACAGCCTCAGGGAGTTCATATGTATATCAGTCCTATAGTACTTAAAAGGCTTTGTTCCATGGGTGCCTTCCGTCCTCACTGGCTCTTACTGGCTCTTACAGTCTTTCTGCATCCTCCTCTACAAAACTTCATGAGCCCTCAGGGGTAGGATTTGATGGAGATATTTAGGACTGAGTGTTCCATAGTCTCTCACTCCCTGAACATTGTCCATTTGTAGGTCTCTGTATTTGTTCTCATGTACTTACTGCAGGAGGAAGCTTCTCTGATGATGGCTGAGCAAGACTCTTATCTATGGATGTAGAAGAATATCATGAGTCATTTTATTGCTATGTTCCTTTAGCAGAACAGTAGTATTTGGTTTTCTTTTAGGTCCATTGTCTATCTGGTCTCAGGTCCTTGGCCACCTGAGCAATATGAGCCATGGTTTCCATCTTATGGAGTGGCCCTTAAACCATAATACACAGTGGCTGGCTATTCCCACAACTTTTGTGCTACTGTTGCATCAGTTCACCATTGTAGATCAAACAGTTTGTAGCTGGGTTGGTGTTTACATTTCTCCTTTGGTAGCATGCAGTGTACTTTTCAGTACGATAAACACTACTCAGTAGAGATGAAGGCTCTAGTCAGGTACCAGTTTGGTTTCTCCTTGTTCAATGAGTTATGTAGGTGTTTTCATCAGCAATAGGGCCTGGCCCACAATTTTAAGTTTTAGAATGTAAGTGTAAAGAAGATGATCTTAAGCCAAACATAAAAACAAAAACTGTGAAGAAATATTTTGAAATTTGTTTTTATACTACAGAATATTCACAAAACTAAATATGCACTGAGATACGGCAAGATGGGCTGGAAAGCTGGCTCAGCAGTTAAGAGCACTTGTTTTTACAGAGGACCCAAGTTCAACTATTAGCACCCACATGGCAGCTCACAACCATCAAGAGGAAACAATGCCCTACTCTGACCTCTGCAGGCACCAGACATGCATATGATACATATGTATTCATGAATATGTATATGTATGTACATCTATATATATATGTGTGTGGGGGTGAATATATATGTATATGTATATATATTCATGCCAAATACTCTTACACAAAAGGAAAATAAGCAAGTCTAAAAGCAAATTAATATAATTGAAGGAGCTAATATGTACTATACATATTAACTTATAAAGGATAGACATCTCTTATTAAAATAAAGAGTTTTAATAAGGATAAAAAAGTTCACCAGAACTTCCAGCACTGCCTGCAAAGGCTCAAGGCCTACTTATTTTGCCCTAATACCTTCAGCTGAGCTTTACCTTTTAAATGTTCTATAGCCTTCCCAAACGGCAGCAGCAGCAGCAGGTCCACAATGGAAAGGTCTGCTAACAGCAAGATTTTTTTATAAGAGTATGGGAACAGGAAAGTGGCATTCACTACTGCTGAGACAATAAATTGGTAAAACCATTTATGAGAGCGCTTTGGTGCAGTATATGAAGATGTTACAAGGACCTCCAAATCCCACATCAAGATGTATTTTATAGAATCCTTTAAACTGGTTTCCAAAGAGACTCCTGTAAGGAAGTTCATTGCATCATGTTTTGTAATGGTGGGAAACTGAGAACTTGGACATATTCAAGCAACAAGATAAAACTTTATAGCTGTAAAGTAATACATGATTATGTATCAACATAGATACAGCTGCAAAAATGATGTTGAAGGCCAAAAGCCACTCATAACGGTATGTATATTCTTCAACATAAAGTTCTTAAATGTAATATTTAAGAACATTGCAAAATAATGATACTAGATTTAATCACACAAAATAAGTATTTTGTTTTCTAAAAGAACTACCAGTAATAGCATCTTCATTTCAAGGTAACACATGACTACATGTGTGGTATTGATGGACATAGAATTCAGTATGGCGTTGTATAGGATTGATAAGGTATATTGGGGTGGCTTCAGATTTGGATGCTGAATTTTATTTCTTTAAAAAAATATGGAAATGTTCAGAACCCTTGATTCTATTCCAACATAGCATACATGCAAAGCAAAAGAAAAAAAAAACTCACCCAAGACCAAATGCTTTTGCAGAAATTATGGCAGGTGTTAAATTTTATTAAAGCAGGGTGATGAGTACATGATTATGTTGTGTGTGTATGTGTGCATACTTGTACATTTCTGTTGACATTTTGGTTTTTTTTCAAAAGAAAATTAGTCTTAATAGAGGCATAAAATTTTGATCTTACATTATATAGAAATATTTACAAAGTGATTAAATCTTCTGCTGCTTACTTATATGAACATAGCACCCATGAGTCTTTTAGTATGACATAAAACAACTGAAAAGGATCTTTTCTCATACACCAGTCTAAAGCTTCCAATTTTATTTTGTTCCTTTAATATTGGTAAGATCACCATATAAACCATTCATTAGTGCCTCTCTTTTCCTTGCTGTTCTTTGGTGTTGGTCAAACTCATCGGAATGCCAGTTATATGACATCAAGAGACCATTTTAATTTTTCTTCCTTTGTTTTTTGTTCTTAACCTCTGATACTTACAGGAATCTGCAAGCAGAGTACGATCGTCTAAAGCAGCAGCATGAGCATAAAGGCCTATCCCCACTGCCGTCTCCTCCTGAGATGATGCCCACCTCTCCCCAGAGTCCCAGGGATGCTGAGCTCATTGCTGAGGCCAAGCTACTGCGTCAACACAAAGGACGCCTGGAAGCCAGGATGCAAATCCTGGAAGACCACAATAAACAGCTGGAGTCACAGTTACATAGACTGAGGCAGCTCCTGGAGCAAGTAAGGTCCCCAGCTCTCTAATATTGGCTAGTTACAAACTTTCACTTTCCTCTTTTAAACAAAACTAAAGGGGAGAACTCACATATTTGTGCTTCAGCTTTAAAGTATTTTTCAATATATTTGCAAAATCATTTCCTCTCCAAATGTAATTTGATTTTGGTTTGTTTTCCATTCATTTATTTTTTACTAATTAAATGCATTTTAGATATGTCAGTCATTTTCTGTAAATTAATTTTCAGACTGTTTGAAATGAAGTTCTCTTATTTAAAATTAGTTATATTTTGTGGTATACTATTGGGTATTTTGCCCCAATCACCAACACATAAATTAAAGATTTGTGCATTTCACTGGGAACCTAGGAGAATATAGCATTAAAACAGACTCTGGCCAGACATGCTGTAGGTTTTCTGAGAATTTAATACTTTAAAATAATGTATCTATTGTGTTACTTAATACTTCTCCAAAATATCAATTCTCTATTATTTTGGAGGGGTATATGCTCTCTCTTCTCACTTGGCTTTCTCAATCTCTTAAGCCTTTAAATTTGGTGACTTATTCCTTACCCTATCATATCAATATTTTTTAGGATTTTTTATAATAGATCAGAGTTCAGATGTAAAGACATAGCCATGGATCATATCAACAATAAAATATTCCATATTCTTTTATTTCTGGGGTGTTTCTAAATAGGAATAGTAATAATGTCTGAGTCCTGACTATCTATAATAATAATTCTATTTTTGAGTCTGTAGAATTCCTATAATTTTCTGAGATTATTATGAAAAACAATACTTTTCTTCTGTTGCAAACTTTAGCCCCAGGCTGAGGCCAAGGTGAATGGTACCACGCTTTCCTCTCCTTCTACCTCTCTGCAGAGGTCAGATAGCAGTCAGCCTATGCTGCTCCGAGTGGTTGGCAGTCAAACTTCAGAATCTATGGGTAAGTATCACCTACTTCCTTCCAGAATTAGTTACCCATAATATCTGAGAAATTAAAAATTCTGCTACCAGTACAAATCTTGAAGTAAATTTTCTAACACCATCATCAAACATGCCTTAGCGGTTGAGGTGATTCTTGAGCTTAATAAGCCGACTTCCTGGTTACTTAGGACAAAGCAGAGTAGTACAACATAGTTACTGAAAAGAGAAGGCTTGATGGCCAATTGATATTTATGAATGATTCCAAAAGTTGGAATAAAGATCAAATATACCTTGAAGTGGGAATAATGTAAATGAAGGTCTGAAGTCTTTATAGTGGCAAGAAACAGCAAGTAGTGTGATTAATTAAATAGAAAGATAGGACTTCAAGCCAGAAGTAAAGAACTGTAAGTCTGCAGAGGAAAGACAGTCACATTATAGGGATGCTTAACTCATTTCATGTCAAAGAACGTCTGAAAATCATATCACAGGTGAGAATATCTGAAAAAATACTTCTTAAAAGATGTATTCTGGAACCTTCATCTTCCCAAAGAAAAACACTTCTAGATGGATACACCAGTTAGGGAGTGTTTGTTCAGTCCATGATATAAGAATTCTGAGAGTCTACATTTGAGAGAAATGGGAGGAGGCATCTATGAAACTATTCTCTGTAAATAGAGTTTCTAGGACCTAGGAACTGACTGTGAAGGGGAAGAAATGAGATTTGGTTGTCAGTATAGATGAGGTTTCTGTTGTTGTTGTTGTTGTTGTTGTTGTTCCCCTCTCCCCATGCTATGGATAGAACATAGGACCTTAGGCATTTTGCAAGTACTTTACCACAGAACTATACTCCCAACTTCAGTATTGTAATGTTTCTAAAATATGTGTATTAGTATTTATATGTGTGTGTAGATGCCAGAAGAGGGCATTGTAGCCCCTGGAACTGAAATTACTGTTGGTTGTGAGCCACTTGACATTGTTGTTGAGAAATGAACTCTGATTCTCTGCAAGAGCGGCAAACACTCTTAATCACTAAGCCATCTTTCTAGCCCCCCAGGAGTATAATATTTGATTGTTTTGTAATGCATTTGAGCAAATAGCTGACTTCTTGAATTAAAATGCACATCCTTTGATTTGACTGCTGAAAGATATGAAATGAAAAACATAGAAAAAAAAAGGTGTCTGTATACAGTACTTTGGGGAAGACCTTTGTTCTGTTTTTCTTTGTTGTTGCTATGATAAAAGCTATGACTGAAAACAGTCTAGGGGAATAAGTATTTGTTTCAGTTTATGTCTTCCAGTCTATCTTCGAGGGAGGTCAGGGCAAGAATTCGAACAGGAACTCAAAGCAGAAACTACTGAAAAATTCTCTTTTCTTGTGCATAGACCCACACTTACCTAACTTTCTTGTAAAGCAAGGGCCTTCATTCTAAAGAATGGTGCTGCCCACAGTAGTCGGGGCCCTCCTGCACCAATTTACAATCAACACAGTCCCCTACAGACTTCTTCACTGGCCTGTCTTTCTGGACGATTCTTGAGTTGAGACTCCTTTTTTAGGTGACCCTAAGCAGTGTTCTCTTGACAAAGCTATAAGAACAACCTTTATTTGAGTAATGGGGTAGTAAAGGACTGAGAAGTAGATACTGCTTTAAGGAAGATATGCTCAAAAAATGAAACCTAAAGGAGCCTGTGGAAATGAAATTTAATTACAGCCAGTTAGATCACTATGAATGAGTGGCCTTTTCAGAGAAGGGAAGTTGACCATTGAAAAGGAATGAGATTTCAGGAAAGGAAAGAAACTCTTAGATTTTTTTTTTTATTATTTACTTTCCCCATTGCTTAAGGGTGAAAGGGTTTATTTTGTCTTAGTTTGAGGGTACAGTCTCTTAAAATGGAGAAGTCTTGACTGCAGAAACTTGAGGAAGCCCATCATGTTACATACCCTGTTAGGAAATAAGAAGAAATGAATGCTGGTGGTTAGCTCACATTCTCCTTTTTTATAGTCAGCCCCTAAACCCAGCCAGGGGCAAGAGATCACCTACATTTAGGATGAGTCTTCCCACATCAATTAACCCATTCTAAATCTTCCTCGCAGACATGCCTACATATTTGTCTCCTAGATGATTATAGATTCTGCCAAGTTGAAAGTTAACCCCCCCTTGAATGAGAGCTCAAGATAAAGTTAGTTGAATTTGGAGAGGAAATGATAAGGGTTTAGCATGGTCTTATGTCATTAATTCTTCATTGGGAATCTCTGCACAGAACTGGGTTCTAAGAATGCTATAGTTGGAGTATCAGTTTCAGGAAAGACCCCTGTGCTCAGATTTTTGGTTCTCTTGCAAGGACCATGCATGGAGACAACCTAGGACCCCTGCACAGATGTAGACCATGGCAGTTCAGTGTCCAAGTGGGTTCCACAGTAATAGGAACAGGGACTGTCTCTGACATGAACCGATTGGCCTGCTCTTTAATCACCTCCCACTGAGGGTGGAGCAGCCTTACCAGGCCACAGAAGACAATGCAGACAATCCTGACGAGACCTAACAGACTAGGATCAAAAGGAAGGAAAGGAAGACCTCACCTATCAGTGGACTTGGGGAAGGGCATGCGTGCAGATGGGGGAGGAAGGGACGGATTGAAAGGGGAGGAGGGAGAGAACCACAGGGGGGATACAAAGTGAATAAAGTGTAATTAATAAAGAATTAAAAAAATAAAAAAGAATGCTTTAGTTTTTGAAGCATACATGATAAAAGAAGAGTAAAATGAGGAAGCTATTGTTCAGTGTAATGAATGGTTATGACAGCACTTGTCATGCTCATTGTTTTTTCTGTACTGTTAGACAATCATATTTCATGAATGCCACCAGTATTTGATCTGTTCTCCTTTTTAATGAGTGAGTAAGTATGACTCAAACTCATAAGTCTATTTCTTTTTCGCAGTCCTAAGCCAGTTATCGTTGGGATTCCCACTATTTTCTGGAAGCTCTTAATTTAATAACATACCTGCAGTCTCAGACACTCTGAAGCCTGAGGAGGGAGGATCAATTTGAGAAGTTACTAAGCAAAATAATGACACCACAGCTTAAAAACAACAACCCTCCTCCAAACCAAACAAGTATTAACTCACAAAGGACTTCCTGTCTTTCAAAGCCTTGTGTAGGAATTCATGTTTGAGATGATCCATGGGCTAGACCAAAGAGAGACAAAATACTAAACTCAGATTTTAAGGGTGGAAAACTAAGGTTGAAGGTATGAATTAGTTATAGTAGAAGATCAAGAGATTACATTGTGAAGCTGGATGTTGTGACTCACACTTGTAATCCCAAAGCTGAGAAGTAAAAGCATGGAGATTGCTGCAAGTTCCAGGCCAGCTGGGTTTACACAGTGAATTCTAGGATAGCCAGGGGCTACAGTGAGACACTCTCTTAAAAAATGAGGGACATGGGGTAAAAATGAGAATAGATAGATTGTGGTCTGAGCAGTGAGATTGTGGTCAGGAAAGTTGAATTGATGGGATAACAGCAATAGTTTCAAGCTCTTCCTACATTTAAGTATAAAAGGTATAGGTTCCCATTCAGCTTCTAAGGGTGCTACATGGAGAACATTGAAAAGATTAGAGTATACATAGTTCACTTGGGATACAGTGAGGATTGGGCAAATCATTAGCAGGGTACTGAGATCATTGGAATGATAACAGACATTCTTAGATGTTGAAAAAGGTAGATGAGGGCTGTAAGAAGATAAGTATGCCAGAGGAAAAATAGAATAGTTGAAGCAAATCCAGTGATGTTCAAGAATCTAGAGCAAAGGGCACATCTAGGTCCAGAGAAGTAAACCTTACAAGAAAGCAAGGGTCCGGTCATTCTCACGCAGAAGAGCATATGTTTGAGGCTGTTTTCTTTACTACACCTCACTCATTAAGGGAAATCTCTGTCAGATTTTCCTTTTGCCCATGAGATCTGAATACAGCTAATGGACTTTTGGAAGTGTGAATTATAGCATAAAGCATGAAAATATACTGCACACCTTTGAGAAGTCAATAAATTCTGAAAGCAGATGAGCTTTAGTATCTGTGATTTCCTACTTCAGGGTTTTCCTTCTCTTTGAAGTAATGCATGAGAAGTTGATTTGCATATTTTAATGCTGAGCCTCAGAACTCTGGATGTTTAGAAGCATTAATTATTAAGTTTGTCAACATTTAAGAGGCAGCATACTTGTTAAAGCACTCAAATAAAAGTAAATAATAGGCTGTGGTACTGATGATTTGTAGAACCAAGAATATTCTGGCTGAACTGAATACAGGGAGAGAAGTGCTATATGCCAGTGCCTACAACAGAGTAAGAGAAAACTTGCCTATATAAAATTGGTAGGATATGTTAAAAGTCTTGTTTTCTGAAAGAAAAGGCTAAATTCAAAGGTGATTTTTTATTGAATTTATTTCATTAAATAAAGCCAAGTTTATTTAATAAAAGGGAATAGAGGAACTTTGAAAAGGGTGGTTCCAAATGTTTAAATAACAGTGATATGTGTTCCTGTGCTTTCAGCTCTTGAGATGTGGTAAGGATGGGATTGGCTGAGTTATATTACAGATAAAGATAATATTAAAAAAAAACACAGCCCCAATCATTTTCTTTCAAGTGAAGTATTGTAGAAATCATACCAAGTTATCTGTTTAAGAATTCAACTACATTTGGCCCTTCACATCTGAGAGTTCTATATTATGTGCTTAACCAAACAAACTTGGAAATATTTGGGGAGGGGATGTCCGTTTGTAATGAAACATAGATATTTGGAGGTCACTATTCCCTGAATTGGATAATAATGTAACAATTAGCATTTACATCTGTGTTAGGTGTTACAAGTAATGGAGACCTGATTTAAACTGTATGGGGAAATGCATGTCGTTTCTATGAGAGTAGGTTATAAAGGAGTTTAGCATTCATAGATTTGTTGTCTATGGGATGCCATATTCACCCATCACCCAGATACATAGGACCATTGTACTTCTTCAGAGCACAAAGTA